GGTGAGAAAATAAATCAGGAAAAGAGACTACTGAGAGACTTCTTTGCGGCTGAATACGTCGCAGAGGTGAATTGATAAAAAAAAATATATATATATATATATGTGTAGGAAAGCGGTCTCATATCGCCCAAGCTTTTCACGGTCTGTTTCGAGATAGTATTTCGGAACTTGATGCTGGTGTGCCAAAGATACATGTTTATAGATGTGGTTGTGAATTTGACCATGTGTGTGTGTGTGTGTGTGTGTGCGTGTGTGTGTGTGTGTGTGTACAGATCTAACTGTGGAATCTGTAAAATTCGATAGCACCATTTAGCGATTTTTGTCGGGATCCGACAGATGTGTTGCTGTTTAAACAGTGTATTTGTAACATTTTTTGATTGCTGCTGTAGGGTTGCGCTTTTTTTTAAATATAGCATTTTAGGGTTATCGGTGTGAATTGTGCCAGTTTACGTTTCATCAGAAGTGTGGCTCAAAGGTTCCCAATTATTGTGACCGTATGCAACAAATTTCGCATGATGTACACATGGCCAATCGACTCCGTGATATATGTGACCAGTATGAAGGCCCGAATGCGGCACTTGTTGCCGAAATTATACAACATTTCCACAGCCCTGCAGCGGGTCGGCGCTTTTTACACTTCACAGTGATCAAGAAATATGATTTGTGGTTTAGGATTGTGCTAATTTCCAAAATACTCTCTCATTTTTGGCAAAAAATTTTAACCATTTTCAGAGACGTTGTCAAATCATGCGGGTATTTCGCGGCAACAAGCCGTACGTTTGCCGGGTCGAGTCGAAATCGGTGGTGGAATCAATGAAACAGCCCGCGATCGCTCATCTTCTGCTCCTAACATATACGAAATTTCAAAGAATGAAACACTGCGTGAATCGGTCACTGTTTCAGAACTTGTGGCTTCATTTATACCGGAAAAAATGCTTCGCTTCTCCTCCAGAGTGTTTTTGATACGGCTTATTTGTCTTTTTTAATTTTTTGCATTTTCAGAAAGTGCTGGATGCTCTGAACAGTAGCGTTCAAGTGCACGTTCAGCCGTCAGGTATCGTTTTTCCACTGTAGCGGCCTCTTTTGATGGAACTTTGTTGTATTTACCACTATGTGAAATCACCACTTCGTCTTTCTCTGAGAATCTTACCCCTTTTTGCATCTCTTAAAGCTTCACTTCTTTCTGGCCTAGGTGTATCAAAGGCTGCG